ATAGTTTCGACCAGTATTGTGACGATAGTATTTGGGAGAGATTGAGGATGCTCCGTAGTCCGCACGCGCGCACATAACCCGTGAATTGTATATTTTTCTTCTTTAGTCAGAGTTCATTGAGACCATCATGGCATCGAGTTCTGCAGTTCTACAAATTCCAACACTATTGTGTGCAAGGTCAATCATGGAACCTCCAGTCGCAAAGGGACTGGTGGTGAAACAGGTTTGACCGGTCAAAATCCACGCCGAGCAAGCTCCGACTCCGGGCGGAGAGCAGAAGTGCGCCGCTCCAGAACACAATTGTTTTTTCGTGCATAGCTTGAAATCGATCAACCATTGCAGCGGGTGCAACATAATCAATTGTATGTTGAGCAAGCTGACAGAAACTCGTATCTGTCAGCTTGGCTCAAGAGACAAGCAAGGGCTTGCTCTTCACGGTTTTTTTCCCTCCCACACCACCCAGGGAAGACCCCAAACCGGAGACTTTTCGACCTGACTCAGCTTCAACCACCGTGGAAAGGTTCAACCTGTGAGAAGCCGAGGGTCAGCTCAAACCAAAAATGAGAGTACAAAATTTTCCAAATTGTCGACGGTAACTTTTGACCCTCAGAAACACCACCACTGATACCTCCGAGCCGTCAGTGCCTGTGGTTTGAGCATGGTCGGGCATCTGAGCTACTGGTCGCGGTTTCACAAACGTCTCCCACCCAGTAGCTGCAGAAACACACAACACGAGGAACACGTTCGCGAATCGTTCGACTAGCCTTCGAACGAGAACAATATTGCGCAGCAATCTCGGCTAGTTCTGCGGCTTCGTGCAGTCGAACCGGCCGAGCGGCTCCCTGCTTCACAGCTCGCCTTCCCATTGTCGGAGCTTAGCAGTGGCAGCTGGATTTTGCGAAGGTCCAGGCTTGCATGGGGGCCCCATGCAAGCCCAATGAGCAAGCAATGACTCCCAATGAGCTTTCATTGGTCGAAATTGGTCTTGTGTTCGACGAATTTGAACTTGCGTTTCCGAATTCATTAATTTCATTTACGAATTTGAACTTTCATTTCACGAAAAACACCTTTCACTTGTCGAAAATCAAATTTCATTCACCTAATTTCTTCTTTCAATTGTTGAGTTTGAGATTGAGAAGGTGTAGAAAATCGCCGGGTGCCCACCTCTACAACCAAGGTCGCAAGATTTTAAGCTCGAAAGATTAGTTGTTGAGAACAAACTTTCCAGTCTTTCCTGGCAAAGCAGTAGTTCCTTGTTTCTCGGTTCTAGGTCGGCCCAAGTTGGCCCTTGTACTAGGTTCAACAGAGTTCGTTGTTCCCGTAACAATTTGTCGCCGGGGAGTCGATAAATTAGAATGCTCGCAAGCAAATCTCTCTCAATACAGTTAATTTGCAGAATACTAAATTTGAAGGAGTTCGTAAACGGTGACTGAGCGCCCACTCCCAGCGTCACTTCTCGAGGCTCTTTGATCATCAAAGTTTGATGTACGGGGCGATTCAGGGGAGAACTAGAAGAAACCAGTAGTGGTCGTTAGAGTAGATGTGGTTCCAAGTGGTGCAATCGCGTCGTTAAACGGAGGTGTAGAGGGAGT